ATAAGATTCTAATTTTCACATTTCAGTTACTTTTATGATAATAAATAAAGAATATACATGAAAAACAATACATAAGACACTACCTGTAACCTCGTTTTTGCTCTCAGTTGCCAATGAAATTTAAGCCTAGTTTTTTATAATAAATACTAATAATGAGAGGGTTAACAAGCCTTTTTTGTGGCACCTTGTGAAATGCCTTATAAAAATCCAGACACATCACATCTACATAAGCTGTAACCTCTTCAAATAATGTCAAAAGATTAGCAATTCAAGATTTTCCCCTAATGAAACCATGCTAAATATCCAGCAAATTTTGTTAAATGGGTTAGCATGGTATCTTTTATCAGAATTTCAAAAACCACTGATGTAAGACTAATAGGCCTATAATTACTGGAACAATTTTTATCACCTCCCTTGAAAAGAGAAGTAACCATCGCCAACTTCCTATCTTCTAACGTCTGCCTGCTATTCAAGGACTTATAAAAAAAATAATAATAACAGCAAATGGCTCAAATATCCAATCCTTAACCTCTTTCAAAACCCTTGGGGAAATATTATCTGTACTAGGAGTTTTATCATTCTATAAACTTCACAATTTTTATTCCTAACAAGCTCAGATTTCACAAATTTAAGAATTTATTTTACAAACTTTCAAATCTATTGTCAGAGCCTTGTTCACTTCACTTACTCAATAAAGACTCCAATAAAAAGGCCACAACTAGCAATACAATGAAATATTTAATGCTGTGGTTGTCAATACATGTAATTTATTCAAATATAAATACCTAAAAATCACAAGTCCTAAACATCAACAAGTTCAAGTTTGATAGTTTTTAGTGACCTAAGATTTGTTTAATATTAAAACTAAGTACTTTTGTCCACCTACTCAATATTTCTTTAGCAACAGATAGAGTACTAAATTATGTTTGTTCAGAATCAAAGCAAACTAAGTTATTTAGCTTTGCTCTCAGTAGTAGTTTTACAGTTTTATAGCTTTTTCAGACAATTCTTGACATGTACTAAATGGCAATCACACTACTATTTGAGCTTATTCTGAATTTATCATTTATTTTGTATATGAGCAAATGTTACATAACGTGGTCAAGAAAGCCATCAAATTGATTTCATTCTAGCTACCTTTGTTGTTCTTTAGTAAATAATATCTATTCTGTCTGGTGAGTTTTTGCTGTATTGTGCAAGGATATCAACAACAGTGTCCATCAGTAATTATTATGATTATATCTAGACATTACAACCTATGATAATGAAATGATAATGACCAGTCACATGAAAAGCACTAGTCACGAAGTTAACAAGATGTTTCTTGCAAACTAAAGAACATTGGATTTAGCCAATGTGGAACAGGATTGTGAGGGAAAAGTAGCTTGGAGAAAATCCAATAAAAGTGATAATCCATCATTCCATAAAAGCATGTACACATACAGTGTTTGTATATTACATTTGTGATAATAATAAAAAAATGTTTCATATTTCACTTTGTTTTCAGTCTCTTTATTCCATTCAATATCATGTCTCAGTTATTAAGATGTTTAACATTACTTCATAATAAATATCTTGACTGAATATCCTGTTATCAAACAGATCTATCTCACTGCTTGATGTTTAACTCAGTTTTACCTCGATAAACCACAGTCTCATTAACAAAAGGGGTTTACTCTTAGTGAATGACAATTATCTCCAGAATGCAAATAAATGTACTTCTACCAATTATGCCCACGTCCTTCTGGTATTCCTAGTGTTTCACCACTGGACAAGTCCACATCAGTAATTAGAAAATTGGGAAAAGAAATTTGGAAATATCAATACATTCTTAGCCTGCCTGCAAGAGACATTACAGGCAACCCACATTTTTATATATGAAATAAGCATTATAGTAGAATTGCCATTGGTGGTCCTAGTTGTCAACTTGATGTCATAATGGATAATGCCAGTGGTAATAGCACCCAAATGCATTGGGGATATCCCATATATCAGACAAAATCCACATGCTGATATTGATAAAAGTACTGAACATAGCAAGTTTCAATGTAGTAAGAATATTTGAAAACTTTAAAAATGGGTTATCTTCAATCAACATTTTTCAGAACTTGTAATGATATAAAAAAATGGCCATGTGCAAGAGTACTTACCGAGTACTCTTGAGTTTCTCTAATTTTTTGTAGTTTTATTCATAAAAAATGTTGTTTTTTCTGGTTATGTAAGGACATATCTGGCCAGCAGAAGAAAAAATATGTTAATGTGTCTTAATTAGATTTGCAGCTCCTTTGAAGATACCATCCATGGAATAGTTGAATCAACATTTTACTACATACCCCGAAATGAAAACTTTTGATTTCTTTATATAAAACTAAATGAATAAATTTTAACTGTGGAGTGTTTTTTTTTTGTTCAGAGTAAGTTTGAAGGAAGAGAATACACTTGTCTTTTTCATTATAAGGTGATAATTTATTGATTTCTAAATATAAAAGGGCTAAATTGCATTAATCAGGAGTTCTCTCTTACACTTTAAGTAACTTTTAGGTAATTTTTGAGAAGAAAAGTCCTAATTACTTGTTCTACCAATTCCAAATATGCCTCTACATAATGTATGGTATTACCATAATGAAAACATTGCCTTGTGCTGAAAGTGAAATGCACATTCTTCATTTCCTCCTTTGATTGATTCCTCACTTTATCTACTGCCAGAAAAGAGCATATTCTTTGCTTTCTACCCTTACCTATGAGACAAATGCTTATGCAATTTTCAATTCACACCTTCAAGACCTTGAATCAGTGAATGCTAAAAATGAAAGTTAATTTGAAATATTTAATGCTAATTGATGTAAACTGTAATGTAACTTAAGACTAAGTTACTCTTTTTAATATATAAAACATTAACAAGTTTGATTAATTAAAGTATGAATTGAAGCACTAATGTACTAATAGTAAACGTTAATATTACTATTAGCTCCATTTGTATTACTTAAATTAATGTTATGTATGGTCCATTTCTACTAATGAGTACTATATACACGAGTGATGGACGGCAACTAAAGAGAAGTTATGAAGATACAGGTCACTGAAATATGGTTTGACAGAAGAATGCTCAGGATATCATTATCAATATCATGGGCATATAAAGTTACAAGTGATGAAGTTTGAAAGAACAAAAGCAAAGACATTTCTTATGAAACTATCAAAAAAAGACAGTAAAAATTCCCAAGGAAGCGAATTGACAACCCAGCATTGAAGTGAAAAACAATGACATCATCCACTTAGCTCGATACAGAGAAAGATTTAGAACCACGATCGCCATCAACTGTTCATAGACAAGACACATGAGAGAGATAGAAACTTCAACTGTTGTTGTTACTAGTGTTAGTGCTACGGTTTACACTATTAAATTAAACATTTAGAGATAAACATATATTTTAATTTTACATATATGTATGTAACAATTAATATTCTGCTTCTTACCTGACGTGGCCATTTTAACGAGGCAATAATTTTGAATTACGTTTAGAAACAAAAATTCCCGGCATTCACAAAACAGAAAGGTCTACACTGTCTACGTAATTGTAACTTGTAATGTGTGACATACAGAGTGATGTAGTACTAGTACTACCAATACCACATTAAGTTAATTATTTTTTCCTTTTTCAGAAAAACAGACGTTTTTTGTGGCTCTGGTTATTTTTGCAGGCGGATTTCACTTTTACACTCACTTTCTATAATATAATTTGATAATCAGTGTGTCACTGATTAAAAAAAAATCTATTTACTAATTTAAACGATACAGGACCTTGGCATGATCAATCAAACAATGCCAACGCTTTACTCCTAATTATGGAATTCTGTCGCAGTAGCGGTGTGTCTGCGGACTTACAACGCTAGAAACCGGGTTTCGATACCCATAGTGACCAGAGCACAGATAACCCATTGTGTAGCTTTGTGCATAATTACAAACAAACAAACTTTCGCAGTACACTTGTCACCATGCCTAATTCTGAAACTCCGACTACAGGGACGCACAAGCCAACACAGGCCCGTATGGAGAATGTTTGAAAGAAGGGGTTTTTAAATTTTAGTGAGATCAAAGCCAACACGTTTACACCCACGATACGGGAGGAAGAAGTCCAGATTGCACCTGACCCTCCCAGGTCCAAACAAGGACCTAAATCCCGATGAAGCAGAACAGCAACACATTTTTGCTAAGTACAATCAAATTGCTAATGCTACGAGAATCTGGGGGCATACCCCCCCCCCAGAAAATTTGTAGGTGCTGTGAGATTAAATCTGGAAGCAATTTCGCATGAAATATAGCTTAAACAATTGCGTGGTTGTTCACATAATATCCACAAACATCCAATGAAAAGTCAACAAATCATCATTCTATTGTAACACTGCATGGAAAGCCAGACTTAAATTTGGATAAATATGTACTGTTGCGTCAGCGAGTCACATGACTACTGTGACGCCACGTTTCTAGAACTATCCTGTACTTTGGCGAATGCTCTAGTATTTACTAGATATAGGGTAGTCGGGTATATAAAAGAGGGTGACAACGCGACGGGGTGA